CACAAGTGTCACCAAGAGGACCTTCCGACTCCTTATACGAACGCACCGGTCTGAATCCGCATGCCCATCAATCCGCGACTTAGACAAACGTATGTGAGTGTAAACACGGCGTCATGGCTTCCAAGATGCAGGATTGTTATCAGTGGTTCCTCCAATACAAGAAATGGGTCATGAACAATCCTCAGGGGGCATCAGAAATGGAAAGTGTGGTGAAATGGGGGTCGTACTTTTTAGCTGGTGAGTTATGGAATCGTGTCGTGAGGGAGAAGTGTGGATTCAAGAAGTAAAACTTTGTTGATTGTGCTATCGAATTTCATCTTCCAGTGGTAGTAATATCTCTCTTGAAGCTATGATTTTTAATATATATTGTCTATTTTTTCAAGTCTGAGGGGAACCTTTTTATTCTTAGATTAGTACCAAAGTTGTGCCTTCGTATAGTGTCTTATTTTAATCTTTATAAACCCCGCCCCCACCCTCAGCATCATCAAGTTATTACATGGCAGTTTCTAACACACTACTCAATGTCAGTCGACAAGATTTCATGAAATTTGTATTGTTGGAACTGTGGATATCATATTTCTGATTTTAATTGCTTTACCCAGCAAATATTTTAATTACATATTGTAATTGTTTTGTATTTAAGATTTCATTGAAATCCGCCTTGAGAGATTGTGTATTTGCTTTGCTTATTTAGTAAGGAAAGTGAAATATCTTGTTTTATTCTCAGTCTTCAGTCTATATCCCCTATAGGGTATCTGTATCTGTATTTCAGTAATACTGTTGTATTGTCTACATAGGTTTGAAGAATCATCATAAACAAGGATGAGTTGATGTATTATACAGTATAGTTGGATGTTAGGGCCTTCCACTTTGTAGTAATTTAACTTGTTATAAATCTAAAAGCAAACAAGATCATTTTTGGTGTGGTAATATTCATTTTGATATTTTGATTGCTTTGATAATTGTAAGAGTCAGTCTTGACTGAAGAATGGTATAGACATTTTTCAACTGCTTTTACTTGCATTTACTATAATTGTATTTATTTCCATTTTTTAAGATACATTTTTGTGAGGAAAATGTTCATAATTATAGATCTACTGGTATATATTTTCCATTTTTTGAGATCTTATCAGCTCCATATTTATACAGTAAATACTATAGTAACTCTGCTGTTATGCAAGCATTATTATACCTATAGGAAAGGTGGCAGAGCCTTTTGAGATGACTACATGTGAAACTTATGGGCATCTCTAGCACTTACTGTGATTTACAATTTATCATAAAAAAATCTGTCAGATGTAAAAATTAGACATTAATAAAAAAAAAAAAAACATAATTAATAATAATAATAAAAAAAAAAAACATATAGAAAGTACAGTGCCCAATTCAAGAGCTGTACAAGATTCTTGCATTTACTTTTGGGCCTGAAATGTGAAGATTGAAAAAAAAAAATGTTCATATAAGTGAGGTATATTTCAGGTAATTACTTATGAACTAAGAAGACTGATTTCTTAACCAAATGCATGAAGATTTAACCTTCTTTTGTATGTTTTTTTTTCCATGTAGTATGACAAACACAGTATGACTTTTCAAACTGAATGACTGAAGCTTTGACAGTTGTAATTTGTGTACAAATGTTACCATCTGGATAACTGAACATGAGTGCATCAAGAAGTCACATACATACAGTGATCTTTATATTGTTATTGCAATATGTGTAGTATTGAAGCAGTCAGTGAAAATATAATAGCATTTATTCAGTTCCTATTGTGGCCATGTTTCATTTTATCTTTATGCACACATTTTTGTGTTAGTAGTTTATTCATTAAGTTTAGAGTATTAAAGTATAGGCTTAATGTCAATACTGAATTTTAGAATATATTTTAGAATTGGGTACATCTATCAAACCATTCTGTAGAAGAATCAGGTAATGAATATGATTAAGAACATAGTACAGTCAGGTTTTTCTAAGTCCCTCATGAATGTTAAAGATTTGCAAAAGCATATTGTGGATATATAGTAGTACCATAAGGTAAACCTGTTACTAACCATTGCTAGTTTATATATGAAATTAATTTGTTTCTATTCAAAAAAGTATACAAATGTATCATAGATATTTTATGATTGATTAGAATTAGCACATATGGACAAATGTATTTATTATATCCATTTTATCTATCATTTTTGGTTTATTTTTATTTTCATACATTTCAGTATATAGCTCTTTAGTTCAAAACTTGTGGGTAATTGGATAAGTGACTACAGCAAGTTGGTGATTCAATGTTATTTTAAAATTTCTGCTACAAAATTTTAGAAGGGTGAGAGCCATCTTTGTTATAACATTGACAAAATTATTTGTGAAGGGAATGGTTATAACATAATTATAACATATCTCCTTTGCAGGTCGTTTCAAGGACTCAACTCTCCTTTGTGAGATAGTTTATTCAGGATCGAGACTTTTTGAGATGTTCAATGACTTCCTGGTTAGGGGAACTTTGCCTAAGCTTACCTCAAAGCAAGGAGACAAATTAAAGGTACATGAGAAGTGTTGATTCTTTTTTTACAAGTTCACGGAAAAAATTATTGTAGGTCTTGTGTTATTTTGAAACTGTTTAGCTCTTCTTACAATCATTCCTTCTTATATATATCTTACATAAGACTTGCTTATAGATATGATTTTCCTTTATTGTCTATATAGTTATTTTTGTGGTTGTTGTCTTATAATTCAGAAATTTCATGATTCCCTTTAGTTTTGTTATCAATACTGATATTGTTAGATTATATTAAAATGATTAAATGAACTCCTAGGGCCTAATTAAGCCTGACTTCATATGTTGGATAATATCATTGACATTACACAGGAATTGCAGTATTTTACGTAACTGTTTACAGATATATAACTATGGTCTATTACTTTTTAGGTGTTCCTAACTATTTTGGAATATGTGGAGGTGCTAGTGGAAGTTGCAGCTGTTCAGTTATGGGGGGAAATGGGTCGCTGGGCAGTAGTTGCTATCATTCAACTAACAAAGTAAGGAATCTTTTAAATATTGCCCAAATTAATATGCATAAAGATATGTAAGTGTCTTTTTTCATGTGTATTATACATGTGACATAACTTTTATTTAGTTGTGTCTTCTTAAAACTGTATAATATGTATGGTGACAATATTACAGATGTATTGGCCGTTTCCTTCTGGTTCTGAAGTATAAGACATCACTAGTGTCATCCCCACCAATCAAGCCACTAGACCGCAGAGCTGTGATGCAAACCAGACAGCAGATGTACAACAATCAAGGCTCAGTTCCTGGTAACATCTAGTACTATTTTCTTCAAACTGTATTGTTTCAGATTCAGTGGTGTATTTTCAACAAAAATTTAAAGTAATGTACATAATATTAGGTAACTTCATTGTCTCCCAATCTGCTTTCAGAGTCATTCCGTCTTCCCCATTCTGGCCGTGTCATGAGAACTCTTGCTGGAGCCCCACCAACTCATCAGCGTACATTTAACCCACCACAGCCTCCCAGTAACAATGAAAATGAAACAGTTGCTCAAAAGATGTTATCACCAAAGCAGCTAACAGCAGAGGTAAATCAATATTATAAGTATAGTGTTTTCATTGCAGGACAGCAAAAATTCAATTTAACTGAAGTAAGAGAACAATTGATTTTGGAAACATTACCTTATTCTGATATTCAACTACATGTGTTTTGAATAAAGCAAACAGACAATATAATTTATGCTCATCTCAAATGATGATGATGATTTTTTTTTAAGTGGTCCACTCTCTTACATTTAATATAACAATTTTTTGGCATTAAAGGACATAAAGTCCCCATATTAGTCCATAACATTAGGTTTTTATGTATTATACTACGAGTTATAGCTGATAGATGCCCTTTTTATTTTTCATTCACTTGTTTTTTATTCCATATCTCAGGTAACAGTCTCCACCATATTTTATTATATGTGTTTTCTTGTCTCTACAGGCATTGCATATTTTACGACCCATTGGGCATTTGACCAGTATGTATCTCTTTGGAAAGCAGTCTTGGGCACCCTGGGTTTTGGCTCTGGGCATGGACATTACAAGGTAAATAAACTCTTCTTACATGTATTTGTTTATTTTTTATATGGATGGAAATAAAGAACTAATCATTATACATATAAATTTTAGTATTTATAGAGAAAAGTACATTAGAAAAGAAGTATTAATCTTTCCTTTTGTTTTACAACTGTAGCTTGAACCTCTACAATGAGTCCATGTTGTCAGCTGCAGAACGAAGTGAACTGGCTCGAAGGAGAATCAGTTTGTTATACTACCTTGTCCGGTCTCCAGCATTCCACACAGTGACTCACAAGCGTATAAAATACTTCTTGACCACAGTGGGCAATAGAGTCCCTTTGGCTCGAACAGTTTGCCAGCCTTTGCTTGAATACATTCCTGAATGGCAGAAGATTTATGCTTACACTTGGAGTTAGGTTGTCCCAAAGAGAGAGACTGTGAATAGGTGATATTCAGAAGGTGTACAATACAATCTGGAGACAATGAAAGATAACCTCTTACTGTACATAGATGATGTACATATATAACTCTCGTTATATATTTCTCTACCTTTAGTATACAACAATTGTAAATAATTTGCATAATAGCTTATTGTCATTGGTTTATAGATTGTTGATATTCTCAATCTTCATCAGATAGAAAAAGGTTGATACTAAATTAGGTATAGTCATTTTGCAAAAAACAACAACATTGAGTTGGTTTTATACTGAGGATATAGAGGTTTGAATATATAGATATTATGCAGTATTATGTGCTAAACCTGAGCTAGTCAGAGTTATTAAGGTATTTGGAAGGTGAGAAATAGCTTAAACAACTATGGATTTTACTCCCTAAAAATTTGCATATGTAAAAGATATTGTAATTTGACATGCAGCATCTGCCTCAGCAAATGATTACAGTGTTTCATAAGCTGATTTTAAATGCTAAATAT